CAATATTGCTGCTACTACAGCGGTGCGCATCAGGGACACTCGGTGTGCGACGTGGAGATCCGGAGGAATGAGATCCGGGCAAGTATCCTACACACACACACACACACACACACACACACACACACTCCCCACCGCCCGGGGACCACCCATCCAGGCAGGCTGACTTCCGTGACCTCAGGCCAGAGGCTCCCTTCCAGACTCGAATACTCTGAAAGTTTGGGGGCAGGTTCTGGGAAGAAGGATCCCATGGCTACTTAATCCATTTCTGCACCTGTGCTCAGAGAGCCCATCTTGTGAGTCATTTGTGGAGCTGAGGTGCGGGGCTGTTGGAGTTTGGGTGCTGCTTTTCCGTCTTCCCGCACAGCCCCCTCCCCCAGCCTGGTTTCTGTAAGGCCCTGCAGGAAGTCACCAAGGCAGTGACCCAGGTTCTGCATCTCCAGCTGCTGTTTATGTAATGAGTGTCCTGGTGCCGCTGCTGCGGCTGACATGATCCATGATGTTGGCATACCAATGAGGAAGTAAACAAAAGCAGCCATGTTAGTTTCAAGCCCTACTGGAAACGCATTGGGGGGTGGAGGGGAGCTTCCGGGGGGAGAGCAGCGCTCCCGTATCTGTGAGGACAAGGCCCGGACAGCCAGCAGTATCGGGACAGTGTCTCGGCTGTTCGGATTATTCCGGAGAGCCCGCTCTCCATGTGTGGGGATCGCAGCCCTGTGTGTGCCTGTGTCGAACGCTCCTGCATGAACAAACCTTAAAGTATGTGTCTTCATCGCCCTGAGCCCTTTGCTCCCAGCCCAGCCCTATATCACAGCCCTCCCACATTTGGGGAGGGGAAGTGGAAGACGGAAAAAGAATCCTGTGGGTTTAAGGTTGAGCCGCCTTACAATCTGGTTTCAGGCAGCTGGCTCCCCTGGGCTGCCGGCTGAGTGATTACGGAACCACATCCCCTCCCATTGTATACACCCTGCAGCAGCGGCCAATGTCAAAACCGCCTTCCCCCTCAGGCCTGTGGGCCAGGCTTTGGAGCTGGACTGAGGCAATACTTCCGTCCCCTCCGGTGGAGGGGGGCTCCTACTAAGTCCCTCCCTGGTCCCCTGGCTTTCAGAGTTGAGTCATACCAGAGGAAGGGGGTTGGCCTGCGACTGTATGAGCCATTTCAGAAGCCCAAGCTCGGGGCCTGGGGGTGAGGTTGGGCTTTGGTAGGACTGGGAGTGTTTCTGGGTGGGGGCCCCTGGAGGCTAGTTGAGGCCAGTGGGGAGTTTGGGTATGAGGAAGCAGTGATCAGGGGACGGTTGTAGACGGGGGCTGTTTCCTTTGGAGGGACAGTCAGAATGAGTCAGTGTTTAGCCATTAAAAAACATACACAGACAACTAACAAAAGGCAAGAGGGCTGCCACAAGCTGAGGGCAGGGACAACAAATAAAATTTGCTGTATAATTAGTTTCCAATCCGATGGGCGAGCTCTGGGTTTTTGTGCCAGTACAGGGCCTCTGGTTTCTTAAAGGAAGTGTGGGGGGTGGCGAGAGGAGCCATTTCCACTCCCTCCCCACTAGGGTTAGAAAAGGCAGAAGCCTAGGGGAAGCAGATGAGCCCCAGGGCAAACAGCCTGGGTTTTCCTCAGTATTGGGAAGCTACTGCTGTTAATAAAGATGGGAGGGCTTGGGAGAGGAGGCTGGGAAAGGGCAGAGGCAGGAGAAAGGGGCTGTCCAGCCCTCAGTCCTGGGATTGGCAGGGGAAAGTGAGAGGAGGGGAAGGGGCTGAAAGGAACAGGGGAGGGGGCCGCAACCAGGGTGGTGAGTGTATGTGTGCCCCCTCCCAAGGTTTTGCTCTTAGCTGTGTCTGTGCTAGGGGTTCTTTCATTTGGGTCGGGGAGAAAACATAATTGTACCTGACGTGGTAGTAAGAGGGTATCTCTAGATGTGTGGGTTTGCAAGTGTCTTTGCCCTCAATGCACCTGTCTCCTGGTTGTGTAGCTGGGGTGTGGGAGGGATGGCACATGCATGCAGAGTGCATCCTGAGGTTCCCACCGGCAGGTCCCTGATCCCCAGCTCATGGGAGGAACTGGATGGGAGCAGGCCCTGAACTTTGTCAGCAGCTGGGTGCGTGCGTGCATGCCTCTGTGTGTGTGTGTGTGTGTGTGTGTGTGTGTGTGTGTGTGTTAGTTCCTGTCCCTAGCGTGAGCAGGGACTCAGAAGTAGTGGGTTGCATCAGGGCCAGATGTGCAATTCTATTTGCTCAGCATCTGTGCCCCCCAGCCTGAGTCTCATCCCCCTCCTATTCATCCCTCTCCAACTCCCCCACTCTAGGCCCTCAGGATTCTCTCCGGTGCCCCAGGGTACTGGAGTTGGAAACCCTTCAATAGCCCAACACCACTCAGTATGAGTTGGATTTATTGAATGTGGAGGAAGGGGGCAGGGGGTCCCACCAAGCGGGAGGGAGGGAGCTTTGGAGAACCTGAATGGAAGAACCCATTTCATTCTCCATCCTCTCTGGGACACAGGGGGGAGGGGCCTTTTCCTGGGCCTCTTTTCCCTTGGGAATCAGTCCTAAAGGACCTCTTCTGGTACCATGGATGAGGGCAACAGAATTCTCCCGGATATAGGAACAGAAGCATGGGGACCTAGCACATGCCTTCAAATGTAGCTCTGCTTCTTGTTCTTCTTTTTCTGTCCTCCTGGGAGAGGGGAGGGGGTGGCTACTGAAATGCCCTTTTGGCTAGAAATAGAAAACCCTGATTAACCTCTCCCTGGTGGCCCCTACTTGCTTACTCAAAAGCACTCACATGTGCATGGGCCAGTGGCCTGGTGCAGGGGCCCAGCGGGAAGGCAAACAGGGCCTCCATTCAGTGGTGGGGACTAGCAGGGGATCTCTGAGTTAGGCCTGTGAAGTCCATGGCCCCATTCTACACTTGGGAAGCCGGTGTGTAGGCCACATTGCCCTGAGGCCTGGGTGCTCACTGCATGGGCCTCAGAGACCACTCTCTGGGACATATCCAGACCCTAAATATGTCCTAAGGGCCTAAGATTAGGACATTTAGGTGGGTTCAGGCCTGGCAGCCTTGGTGTTCAAATCCTCTTCCGTCCCCTAGGTTTAGGGGTTCTGAGCAACATGGTACTGGGATGAGCACCTCTATCTCATAACCCCCCCTCAACATGGAAAGATGACTCAAGATAAGCCCTAGTTATCTTGTGTGATGGGCTATGCAAGGTGTGTGTGTGTGTGTGTGTGTGTGTGTGTGTGTGTGTGTGTTTTTTCAGGTCATAGTTATGTCTGTGTCATTCCTAGGATTCCAGATCAAGGCTGGAAATGTTCTTTGCTTTCTTGGAGGTTTAGAGTTGAGATGTTCTTTACAGAGGGGATCCCACTGCTTGGTCCGGTTTGGAGTGGCTCTCACATTGCCTTTGGCTGGAGGGGTTGGGTGGGATCCTGGGTCTCCACTCCATGTGTCTGTGTCAGGTAGGCTGTAGGAGTGAGGGTTGGCCTGGTCTAGCCCACTCAGGCAGTGCACAGCCCACTGCTGCCTCCTCCCCCACCGTACTCCTGTGGCAGGGTGGGAGCTGGGGTGGGGAGGCTGTGTGTATTCAAGGCACGAGGGTCGTAAGTGCCCCTTCCTTGACCATCCTGAGTTTTACACAGAAGGGGGCCTAGTTTGGCCTTGCTCCAAGGGCCGCAGCCCCCACCCCCCCCACCCCACCACACACACACACATACCTCCTCCCCAGGATACTGCTGACACAGCCGGGCGCCTATCATGCACATCCTATTGATTCCTCTGCCTCCTGCACTCTGGGTAGCTGTGCATCCATGTCAGTCTGCAGGTGTGTGTAGCCAGCATGCTGGCTGTGTCTCTGACACGTGACGAATTTTTTGTATCTCGTGTGTGTATCTCAGAAGGTATGAGATGAGTGACTGACTTCATTATGTAGTTATGTATGTGTGATGTGGGGTCAGAAAGATTGTGTGTGTGTGTGTGTGTGTGTGTGTGAGAGAGAGAGAGAGAGAGAGAGAGAGAGAGAGAGAGAGAGAGAGAACAAGCATGCCGCACACCTGCGAGGTGAAGTTGAGTGTGTGTGCATGACTGTCAGCATGACTGCTAGCGTGACTGCCTGCTCAGGCTGTGGTTGGTGGTTGTGAGTCTTGTGCGACTTTTCTCACCTGGTGGGGTGGGAATTGGGGAGGGAAGGGGAAGATGGGATTCACCTTAGGGTGAGCTTATTGCTTGTGGCAGTATCAGAGGTAGCAGCCTGGATGGATCCTGCGATGCTGTATTGGGGGCAGTCTGGGTGGGCACAGGAAGAAGGTGAGCCTGGTTGGGGCCCCCAGCCTGGATCGAGCAGGCAGCCTCATCCCTGGCTCTGGAAAAGCCTTCCTTCCCGGCTGGCCTGGCATTCAAACCCAGACAAAGGGGGGCTTTCTCTCTCGCCTCTTTGTTCTGCTGCCCCAGAGCGCTGCTCTCTGCATGGCAAAAGCTAATTTGACTCTGCAGCTGGGAAGCCCTCTCTGGGGTCTGCCGGGGCCTGCCTCCCAGGTGCTGCCTTTCTTCTTGCCCTGGCTTCTGCCCTGTAACCTCCTCTCTCTGGGTCTGTGGTTGCCCCAGCCTGGGGATGCACAAGGTAGCCCAAGGCAGGAGCTGAGGCACGAAAGGGGCATCTGTGGCAGGCAGAAGCTGCTCTGAGACAAGGGGAGAGTGCTGTGGCCCAGGGGGAGAGGAGGCTGACCTATTCCTGGGATGAGGTCTTAAATGGGAGAGTGGGGAGTAGGTTTGGCAGCTGGGGAGGAGGTCAGGATAGGGTGGCTCTGGAGCAGGGGTTGCAGCCAGAGCTGCAGCCAGCATGAGAGTCATCTGGGCAGGGGTCTGCGTGGCTTAGCTCCCTCTTTCTGCCCCCACCCTCCCGCCACCGGGGCTGTTGGACCCAGCCCTGGCTTTGTCTGAAAACCTCAGGCCTGCTTCTGGCCCAGCCCCTGGGGCCCTGTTCCCTCCTGACCTTGCTTCTCTTCAAGGTTGACTTGTGGGTTTTATTATTATTTATTAACTTTTATACAGCCTAGAGTCCCCATGGCCTCACCCGTCTGCCCAGTCCAGTCTGACACCAAAAATGCCAGTTGGACCTGGCCAGTCAGGCTCTACAGGGACATGAGGCTTTCCCAGGGCAGGGATGTAAGGGGCTTGTGATTGCCCCCCCTCCAGAGTCTAGAACACTAGGTGACAAGTATGAGAAGCAGGATGTTCTGGGGCCTTGGAGAAATGGGAATGAAGTGCTCTCAAGCCTTCTTGATGCTTTTGCCCTCACAGATTCAGGAGCAGATCATGGAAGGCCTTAGGCCCTCAGGGACAGGGACAGGAGTGAGCAGGTCCCATCTGGACCAGGGCCTGTGGAGCGGGGCTGGGGCTCATATTGTCCCTCCTGCTGGAGGAGGCCTGGTCCCTCAAGTGCTTCTAGTCTAGACCATGGTTTCCCACTTTGCTCCTTTCCACTCCCCTCCTGCCACAGTCCAGGTGACTTACTGTGGGCTGGGAGCAGTTTATAAAGTGCCCTGCACCCCACGTGGAGAGCCCTTGCTCTGAATCAAGGTGGGATGATCTCAGTTGTGGCTTTTTTCCCTGGTGGGCGATGGGGCCTCAGGTCTCAGCAATTCCCTGGAGGTTGAGATGGAAAGGAGGCTGGTGGTAGTGGAGAGGGGTCCAGGCCTTGCTTCCTCAGTTCCCCATCCTCCAGCTTCTCAGCAACCTGATTCAGGCATTTGGTGTAACAGAGATGAGAGGTAATGAAGGGGCAGCAAGTCTCCCCAATTTCCCAGTTCCTGAGGTGGCAGTAGTCCCCCAACCCTCTGCATCCCCCCAGGTGTTACCTGTGGCAGGATTAAGATCACCTGGCCCTAAGGAGGGCACGCCCTGCAAAGGTAAGCTGGCCAGCATGGACCCCCTCCCCTACCCCTGCAGCAAAGACAGGAGCCCAAGGGCCTCTGAGCTGGGGGAGGGGAAATGAAAAACCCAGCCACCTACTAGGGAGTGTGGCACTGCCTTCACTGGGCCTGGCCTGGGCTCCCACCTCAGAGGGCTGTGGGCAGGCAGGAACCAGGACCTGGGACAGGTGAAGCTAAGAGAAGATGCTGCAGGGTCCCAGGGTAGAAGTGCTGCCAGGAAAGGCTCTGAGAAAAGCCTACGAGAAGAGAGAAAGGGCTGAGTCCCCCCAGGACTGGACAGGAGGTACCTCCCTTGGCTCTGCCCTGAGGGGTCAGCCATGAACTCCCAGAAAGGGTTTCAGGGGGGCAAGGGAGGGACCTCCCACTGGTCTGGAGGGTGGGAGCAGAGCAGCTCCATTCCTATCTTCTGAGGGAAACTGGGCTGGGAATCCACCTGGGGTCCCCCTTTCCCACCCCTCATTTGGGACTCAGCCCCAGGTGCACCCCTAATCAGATGATGATGAGTTTGAGCAGGGAGTCCTTGGTGATGGGGGCTTGGGCATGGGACCTGGGTTTTCAGTCATGCAGGGCAATGGGAAGGCAAGAGTGGCCTGGAGTCTGAGATGCATGGCGGGTGGGGGAGCTGTCTTCCTGAGTGTGGGCACAAGGTATCCAGCGGGCAAAAATCTGAGGGCCAGTTGCTACAGGGAGGTAAAAAGGCATTATGTTCCTAAGAGGGTGTCCTGGCCACCTTGCCTTTATGGCAAGCCTCCCTCAATTGTCTGGGGCCTTCAGGAAGTCCAGCCTTCACCCCAAGGGGGTTGGATGCAAGGACCTGTGCACCTGGTACAACACTGCATGAGGTATTCGCAGGGCCCCAGAGCAGTATGTGTGCTTGTGTGTGTGGAGTTGTTTGCATGTATCTGGGCCATACTGTGAGGTGCTGCGTGCCCTCTTTGCACAACTGTGGGCCGTTTCACAGGTGGGGAGGATCCATGACTACCTACCTCTATTCCTGCCCCCCACCCAGCCGTGTTTCTGAACAGGTGCTGAATCCCAGATTGGCAACAGATACCTGTGCCTGTTGGGCTGGTGTGGGGAGCTTGCTGGAAGGACAAGTGCTGGGGGCAGGGCAAGGTCTCCTAGGGCTGGTTCTTAGAGGTCCTGTCCTGGGTCATTGAAGGGTTAAGTTTTTCGGGGAGATTGTCCCAGGCTTCCCAGCTTAGCTAAGAGCCTCGCCCCCACCTCCTCCTCCTCTCAGGGTCCTGGTGTTTTGGTTAGCCACCAACACAAAAGGGGGTCCCTGAACTCCTTACTGGCCTTGCTTTCCTCCCATGTAAAATGGGTTGGGGAGTGAGAAAGGGATTGGTGGCAGGTTGGGAAGCCAGCTGGGTGTGGATGGGAGTGGGAGTCATGGCATCAAACTTGAGGGTCACTCTGAGGCCCACAGAGAGGAAGAAAAAGAATCATTCCTTGTTGAGTATATACTCACTGTGAGCAAGGCTCTGTGCAATTCGCTTTGCAAACCTTATTTTATGTGTAAAACCCATGGGTTTATTCATTAAACATATTATGCATCCATAGGGTGCTGGGGCCTTTGTGTGGCCTGGCTCAGAAGGGAGGTGAAAAAAGATAGCAGCAAAGCCCTATTTTCAAGAGGCCTTGAGTTTTGTAGGGAGATCAAACCACAGTTTATGAAACAAATTACAGAATAATGTATCCTATAGATCTTTCTGGGATGATGGCTGTTTTGTCTCTTTAATATTCAGTACATTAGCCAGTAGCTACATGCAGCTATTGAGCACTTAAACTGAAGCTGGTGCAACTGAAGAACTGATGTTTAATTTCACTTATTTTTAATTAAATTTAAATAGTCACATGTGATGAGTGGCCACCATATTACACAGCAGAGCTATAGAGGGCAGGCAGAATGTGACAACCCCTTTGCATGGCCAGGACTGGGAGAGACCTGCATAAACGCTGAGCAGAGGCCATGAGAAGTTTCCTAGAGGAGTGGGGTCTTGAAGGATAGAGAAGGAGAGGGAAGAGGCACTGTGGACTACAGAAAAACATCAACAGGGTGTAGGGAGTTCAAATGTGCACAGAGTGTTGGGGGCAGGATACTATCAGGTCTTAAGAGAGCCTTCATTACCGTGCTAAAATGTTTGGAAGGAGGGAGTCATTGAGAGTTCTTGAGCAGGAGCAAGACCCTATTTGAAGAGGTATGCTGGTGAGGGGGATGACAGGATGGGTGGAGCAGCTGGGATGGGCAAGGCTGGGAGGATAGGGGTTGTAGAGATAGGATGTGAAGGGCTGAAATAGTAGCTTGGTCCAGTACCTTCCAGCAGACTAGCCTCAGGTTTTAGGAGAGCCAGTGTCTCCTTTCCACCTGGGTCCAACTGAGGGGCTGAGGCAGTTAGCAAGGACTTCAGAGGCCTGGCTCTCAGGGTCAAGAACAAGGGTGGGGGTGGCTGGCTTGCTGCTCCCAAGTGTAAGGTTGTTTGACCCTCTGCACCTTAGGGTGCTCATCTCTAAGCTAGGGCTCCCAGAGAGAGGCAGCACGCCTTGGATAAGAACAGACCTTACTGCCTGTCGGAGTAGCTCAGTTGGTTGAGTGTCGTCCAGTGCACCAAAGGGTTTGCTGTTTCGATTCCTGGTCAGGGCACATACCTGGGATATGGGTTTGATCCCCAGTTCCTCTCTCTCTCCTTCCCTCCTTCCCTGAGTTAGGCAGCATGGCCTCCCTCCCTTCTTCCCTTCTCCTTTCTTCTCTCTAAGCATGTACTCAAATGAGCATTAAAAAAAATAGCCCTGGCTGGTGTGGCTCGGTTGGGCATCAGCTGGGCACTGGATTCCTGGTTCTATTCCTGGTCAGGGCACATGCTTGGGTGGTGGGCTGGATCCCCTGTGGGGAGCATACAGGAGGCAGCCCATCAATGTTACTCTTTCACAGCAATGTTTCTTCTCCCTTCCTCTCTCTCTCAAAATCAATAAATCAATAAACTATTCTTTTAAAAATTAATTAATTAATTAGATTTTATAAAAAGAACAGACCTTACTGTCAGATCCTGAGTTTGTAGCTCAGCTCTGCCACTTACTGTGTGCTTTGGATAAATTACTTAACCTCTCTGGTTTCCTCTTCCCTGAAACGAGGATAATAATAGTACTTATCTCATAGCATTACTGGAATGATAAGGTTCATCTGAGGTGGGGGCGGGGTGCTTAGAACCAAGACTGGCCTGCCCCTGCCCTCAGAAAGCTCATGTGTGAGAAGCTACCCCAGGCTTTCTTTTCCTGGGGACAGACTGGCCAGACCCCAGGCTTTCTTTTCCTGAGGACAGACTGGCCAGACAGAGGTCACCAACCAGGCCCCTGGGATTGCACGAGGGCCAGAGAGGTTGGATGGCAGAAATTTTAGGTCACCTGGGTCAAAGGATCTACAGGATGAGTCTGTTCTATAGAGGGAGGTTGGTGCTCACCCATCCTTGGTAAGGGGTGGAGCTGCAGCCCCTTCTGATGCCCCTGCCTCAACTGTCCCTGCAGAAGATGCTGATGAAGCAGCAGGACCGACTGGAGGAGCGAGAGCAGGACATTGAGGACCAGCTGTACAAACTCGAGTCAGACAAGCGCCTGGTGGAGGTAGCTAAGCCCAAGTTCATGGTTGGGTTGGGGGCTGCTTGGGTGCCGGGCCTTGGGCTCGTCCTTATTTGGGTGAGGATCTGTGTGTGGTCGGCTCTGTGCCAGAACCCTTTGGTCAGCCATTCCCTGAACTGTCAGTTGCTGAGTCCTACAGGGGTAGCTGGCACAGAGCCCTGTGCTACCAGCAGGTCAAACCTTGCCCTGAGGAACCCTGGGCAGTCTGGGGGTTTGGGGTCCCAGACTCTACCATCCAGGATGTCAGACAGGCAGAAGCAGCAGCCAGTGGTCCCCAGTGCTCACTTGCCTGCCCACTCTTGCCCCCTGTGCCTGCAGGAGAAGGTGAGCCAACTGAAGGAAGAAGTGCGGCTGCAGTATGAGAAACTGCACCAGCTGCTGGATGAGGACCTGGGGCAGACAGTGGAGGTTCTGGACAAGGCCCAGGCCAAATTCTGCAGCGAGAACGCAGCGCAGGCGCTGCACCTTGGGGAACGCATGCAGGAGGCCAAGAAGCTGCTGGGCTCCCTGCAGCTGCTCTTCGACAAGACAGAGGATGTCAGCTTCATGAAGGTGGGCTGGGCCCAGGACTGGTGGTGGGACCCAAGGGCATTCCTAAAGTGGAGTCTGCAATTCTTTTTTTAAAAACATGTTTGCTTTTTTAAAAAAAAAACATGGGGTTTTTTTTTTTTTTTGGTTTTGTTTTTAATTGATTTTAGAAAGAGAGGAACGGAGAGGGATAAAGAGAGGGAAACATTGATTATTTGCCCCCTGCATACTCCCCACTGGGGATCAAGTCTGCAACCCAGGCATGTGCCCTGACCAGGAATCGAACAAGCGACTTCTTAATTCATGGGTTGACACTCAACCACAGAGCCACACCGGCCGGGCAAGTCTGCGATTCTTATTCCCCAATCAGTTTCCCCCACCAGTGTGTCCACAGGGCTTTGGAGCCACCCTGTCCTTCTAGCTTTGTGACCTTGGGCAAGTCCTATATGTTCCTTATGCCTCAGTTCCCTCACCTATCAAATGAGGTTGATATTACAGATCTACTCTCCTTTATCCTCAATTCCAAATTTTAGTAATCTCTGCATACTCAAAGAAAAAACTTCTGGCAACTCATTTAACTGCAAAAATTGACCTGAACTGATGTTGGCAATGTATGGTCCTTATTTATCTCACCTAGTACACATATTCAAACATTTTGCTATAGGAACATTGATGTATTGAATTGTGGTGCCTACTGGGGGGTGATATATAATATATGGTACCGGCACTATATTTCCCTTCTGAAATCCAAATAATTCCACATCTGGCCCCAAAGATTTCAAATAAGAGGATTGAGTGCCTGCAAACCTTCCTTCTAGGGTAGTTGTGTGGATAAAATGATGGATGTATAAGAAACACGTGCAATATTGTCTGTCACATACTAAGTGCTCAATAAACGTTAGCTATTCTTATCTTCTAAAAAAGCAGATGCCACTATCCCACCACCACCCGGCCACACTGTAGCCACGGTCTGCCCAGCCTGGGGAGGGTGAGGATGGGGCAGGTCTTGTCTTCCCCTCTCCCGTGCTGCCTTTTCCACTGACGAACCCTTTTCTCTCTCCCTAGAACACCAAATCTGTGAAAATCCTCATGGACAGGTGAGCAGGAGGTGCCTAGCTCTCAGGGGAACACATCTTGGGAGGGTCAGGCCCACGGGGGGGAGGTAGGGCGGGCTCACTGGTGACACCTCCTCACAGCAGATGCCCCGTCCACTGCCCCCAGGACCCAGACCTGCACGGGCAACAGCCTTTCTCCTCCTAAGATCGGCCACCTGAACTCCAAGCTCTTCCTGAACGAGGTGGCCAAGAAGGAGAAGCAGCTGCGGAAGATGCTAGAAGGTGAGGGTGGGGTCTTCAATGGAAGGGAGAGAGCCCTTTGGGCAGGGGTGTATGCCAGAGCCTTCCCTCTGAGAGGCAGCATGGCCTAGTTAGGTGGATCTTCCTTCGTGTCCTGGCTTTGCCACTTCTAGCTGTGGAACTTTGGGCAAGCCATATTACCTCCCTGAGCCTGTTTCTCCAACTGTAAAATGGGAATAATAATAGTATCGACTTGCTAATGGAGTAGTGAGCACCAACCAAGGTGATGCTGACATAGTGTGCCTGGTCCTATAGATGAGAAAGGTCCCCAGGGGTGAGGAGGATGTGAACTTCATTGTCTTTTGTCCCAAACTCTCCACAGGCCCCTTCAGCACACCGGTGCCCTTCCTGCAGAGCGTCCCCCTGTACCCTTGTGGCGTGAGCAGCTCTGGGGCGGAAAAGCGCAAGCACTCAATGGCCTTCCCTGAGGCCAGCTTCCTAGAGACATCGTCGGGCCCTGTGGGCAGCCAGTATGGGGCAGCGGGCACAGCCAGCGGCGAGGGCCAGTCCGGGCAGCCCCTGGGGCCCTGCAGCTCCACGCAGCACTTGGTGGCCCTGCCAGGCGGCGCCCAACCAGTGCACTCAAGTCCTGTGTTCCCCCCATCGCAGTATCCCAATGGCTCCGCCGCCCAGCAGCCCATGCTCCCCCAGTATGGCGGCCGCAAGATTCTCGTCTGTTCCGTGGACAACTGTTACTGTTCTTCCGTGGCCAACCATGGCGGCCACCAGCCCTACCCCCGCTCCGGCCATTTTCCCTGGACAGTGCCCTCGCAGGAATACTCACACCCGCTCCCACCTGCACCCTCCGTCCCCCAGTCCCTTCCTGGCCTGGCCGTCAGAGACTGGCTCGACGCCTCCCAGCAGCCTGGCCACCAGGATTTCTACAGGGTGTATGGGCAGCCATCCACCAAACACTACGTGACGAGCTAACGCCACGCGGGCGGTGGGGCGCTGGGGAATCTTCCCCCCCAGCCCCCAGTGGCTCGGGAATTATGCATCCAGAGACCTGTCCTTCTACCTTCCTGTCCTCCCTCCCTTCCTTCTTTCCCCTAAGTCTTGTCCTTTTGGATTTTGTTTTGGGCTTTGTTTTTGATTTTTTTTATTATGAATCTCTGGACGTGGAGTGACAGTGGGAGCTGGGCTGCGCTGGGGCCGCAGGTGGCCCTGGAGTTGGGAAAGCGTCTACCTCAAGGCGCTGAGCTCTCTCTCTGTCTCTCCTTTCTTCTTCCACACCTTCTCCTCCTCACCCCTGTGGCTGGAAGGAGCCTCAGCTTTCCCTAAAGCCTTGAGGGGTGGGGCAACCCTCCTCACCCAGCCCTGGGAGGAAGGACCAGTGCCCACTGGCCTGCTTCTCCTCTTGTTTTTCTTTTGGGCAGTTTGATCACTGACTGAGTAAGAAATGACCTGTAGATTGTGGGGCTTTTGTTTTTTAATTTTTTTTTTAAACCAAGAATTGATTTCTCCTGCTTCTTCTCACCGTCCTCCCAGACGGAGTTCAAAGGCCACTTCTCAAGCAGCTTTTGGCACCTTCAGCCTCAGAGTGGAATCTTACAGACAGGAACCCCATGTCCAGGAAAGAAAAGAAGGAACTTTGCCAATAATAGTGACCACAGCAAAAGCAAATAATAATAATATTAATAATAATAAAGAGAAATAAAAAATAATTAAATAAAAAACCATAGCACAGCCCTTGTTGAGGTCAGCGGGGGAAGAGGGGCCGCCCTGAGTTGGGTTCTTGCCTGGATTTTGACACAGCAACTTCCTGTAGTGAGCACTTTGTATGAATCGTGGACTTCCTGTTCTCAAGGCGCAGGTATTCTGTAATCTGTCTAGAGCACACACCGAATCCGACTTCTAATAAACAATGGCGCAGTCCCACTCCCTGCCTCGCCTCTTACCCAGCTCCTCAGGCCTGGGGTCCTCAGGCCTTGGGTGGGGAGGGGCCCTCTAGGAATGGAAGCCCCTGCCCTCCTGGCCTTGATTCTCTGATGGCTCCAGCTTGTTCCAGCCTGTGAATGTCAACCCGAAAGGCACGGATCGCATCTACTCAGCCCTGAGTTCATTTGGGAAATATTGGCTGAGGGTCTCCAATGCCCAGTTCTCTGCTTCATAGGCCCTGGCATCTTTGAGGTCCTGCTAACATGCTCTTAGCTAGGACAGACAAAGGAAGAAACCTTATGAGCCTTGCAAAGTTTACCACCTCCAGTCCACAAATATTTATTGAGCACATGCTAAGTGCTGGGCACTGCATAAGCAGAGCAAGACCCTGTCTTGGAATTTAGTCTGACTGGGCCTTGCCCCCATTGGGAGGGTGCAGTCACTCAGCCCCATATCTCCTTTGGTGACCTGGGCTCTGCCCCTGAGGATGGAAGAAGAGCGGGCAGGAAAACCTTTGGCTCTGGGAGGCATGGAAGTAGAGTAGCAACACGAAAAGTACATCCTGCCTCTATCCCCCTTGGCAGGGCTTCTCCAAGCCTCTAGCACAGTGGTTCTCAACCTTCCCAATGCCGCGACCCTTTAATACAGATCCTCATGTTGTGGTGACCCCCAACCATAACATTATTTTCGTTGCTACTTCATAACTAATTTTGCTACTGTTATGAATCGTAATGTAAATATCTGATATGCAGGATGTATTTAGGCGACCCCTGTGAAAGGGTCGTTCGACCCCCAAAGGGGTCGCGACCCACAGGTTGAGAACCGCTGCTCTAGCATGTCTTGGGAGCTTATTGAAGGGCTGAATCTTAGATCCCCACTTAGACTCAGTTGGAATGACTGAGATCCCAGGAATCTGCACTTTTAACTCCCCAGGAATTCTGACAGATCCTGGGGTTTCAGGAGTGCAGCCACGAGGGACTGTCCAGGCTCCTGTGTGCCACAGGGACCCCTGGGGTGGAAGGAGGGGATGGGGCACACCAAAGGCCCTTCTCCTTTGCAGGGGAGCTGACCTCTAAAAAGGATCTCTGGTTTGTTGCCTAATACTGCATGGATCTGCTTATGTTGTAAAGCAGCCTGTACCCTTCCATATAGAAGCTTCTGGGGTAGAATCAGGGCCTGAGCACCGCCTGCCCCGGAAGCTTAGAGCAAGCCGTGTGGAAGTCCTGTGCCAGGGGTCCAAGCCTCACAGACCCCTAGTCACCCCCTTCTCAGAAAAAGAGACCCAGATTGGAGGACATGGTCAGGCCAGTTGGGCTGGCCAGGCCAAACCAGTCTTGGTCCTGCTAAGTACCTCTGCCCTGTCCTGTGGGAGTAGAAAATGACTCTGGGGTGGGTGGACCCTTGTTTCATTGCTCCCCCTTTCTACTTGGGCAGAGAGCCAGGAGCAGGATGACAACAGCTGGCCTGCCCCTTCTCTTCCCCTGCACCTGCTTAGGGCTAAAGAGAGGGGGCAGATGGCTGGAGCACAGCACCCTCCCGCCCAGGGTGGAAGGATGCCCGGGGGCAGGTGGTGGTGGACGGATAGAGGTCTAGCCCCACTCACATCTGTTCCTGTCTCACTGTCCCTTTCTCTAGTTGTCAGGAACCCTGGGACATCTTCTGTGCCAAGAGTTGGAAGCCAAGAGCAGAAAGCTGCCCAATTTCTTTCCCACTTGGCCCTAGTTTGTTTTAGCGGATGGGAGGGATCCTGTCTCCAGGTGCACCCATCAGATTGGGATATAGGAGACTCAGGTGGCAGTGGGAGGGGCCTAACCCCCCCCCCTTTTCACCTCTTTAAAACATTAGCCAAAAAAAATACACCTCTAGGCCCTAAGGCAGGAAAACAAACGCTCCCTGGAGTACGCCCGGGGGCCCTCCCCCCCCAAGAAAGCAGGGAGACCCTAACCTTTTCCACTTGCCCCCAAACCCCCAGTTTTCCCTGGTTTTTAAGAGGCAGCTTTCCCCCACTTTCCAAACCGTCAGGGGGAAAAGGGGCCTTAAAAAAACTTGAAAGTCCCCCAGGACCCCCGCCCCCTAGAAAAAATTTTTTTTGGGGGGGTGGGGGGCTTCCCCCGCCCAGCCCCGGTGTGACCCCTCAGGCCCCTCTTGGACCCAAAGGGCCCCTTTTGCCTCCCTCTCTAACGATTTTCACACCCCGGCGGGGCCCTCCCCCCTCCCCAAAAAGGGACCTTTCCGGGAAGCCCGGGTTTTGGACCTTATCTCCCCCCCCCCCCCCCCCCCCCCCCGCCGAGGGCGGGGCAGGGAGGGGCCCCAAGCCCCTTTGCCCCAAATGTCCAAGGGCTGGGGGGGGGGGGGGGGGCGACCACCGGGGGTTTCCTGAGCCAGCCACCCCGCCGGCCCCAGCTCTTTCATGTCGCTGCCCTCCCCCGTCCCAGCCCGGAGCCGAGCAGCTGCACCCCGCTCCCCGCCCAGCCTCTCTCCCAGCTGTCTTTGGGGTGGGGCTGGGCAGCTGGGAAACAGCTGCAAGGTGGGGGGGGGGGTACTCGGGTGCCCCCTGCAACAGCCGGAAGCAGTCTCCGTGCCCAGGGCGCGGTGCAGGGGGCCGGGGAGGGCGAGGCCTGGGGCGGGTCGCTCCTCCGCCCCTCCCCCAGCGCATCTGGCCGGGCCAGCTGAGCGCCGGGCCGACCCGGATCAAAGCCCCTCCCGGCTTCAAAGCCCCCCTGGGGCGGCGGCGGGCGGGGAAGCCGCTGAGTCAGGGCTCCGGGCCCCTCTCTTTAAGCCGAGCCCCTGCGCTCTAACCTCACTTCTGGGTTCCTCCTCGCCCTGTTCGCACCCACCCACTCAGCTCCTACGGCTGTCACCGTGCCCTTTCCCCAGACACCTTCATGTTCTCCCCTCCGAGGGTGGGGAAGATCCGATGAACACTTTCAGGATCAGATCCTGGCTGCCTGGGGGATTCCCTGCCCCACTTTCTCGGCTGGCAAATTCCGGGGGTGGGGGTGGGGGTGGGGGTGGTCTGGGTCATGTTCTTACTCACCCCAGCTCTAGGCCTACGGAAAAAGGGGGCCTGTTACGCTGACTGGGGCTGTGGGGTGCAGGGAAGTGGCAAATGACTCCTGGGTGTCCCTGGACAGACCTCACCACATGGTAGCCCCTCTTCTAAAGCGAGGGTCTCCCTGTATGATTTTGGAAAACCCTTACTTGGAGGTGCTTAGAAACAGTGGTCTCTAGAAACTGGGATCCTGGTACTGGTTCTAGAACCCTCTGAGTCCTTTTTCTGTGAGTTAAAGGGGCAAGGAATGACCTTGAGGGCACCCTTGGATCGGACCCAGACTCAGGCTGAGGGGATGGGAAGCAGATCCGAGTGTGGGCAGAAGGCTCATGGCGAGAGGTCGGAGACCTGGGCCAGCAGGAGGCTGGCCTTAGGAACATCAGCGTCTTCCTTCGGCTTCTCTCTTTCTTTCCCCAGCACCCCCCTCTTTCCACCTGCACCCCAAAGGCTTTCTTCCCTTCCAGGGGAGGTTGTCTTCACCCCGTGCTTTAACTCCTCCAGGGACAGAGAACTTACAACCTCAGGACGCTCTTGCTCCAGTGAAAGCTTTGACAGATCACAAATGGAAATCTCGTGGGTAGAGCTGTGGCCTCCACCCTGTCCCCCGCGGTGTATGGGAAACATGCCCTGAGTGAGGGAAGCCTTCAAGAGCCCAGGGCTTCTTCCCTAAAACCCCCTGTCCCTGCATCACAGATGCCAGGGATGTACCCGGAGTTCTGCCCTGGGAGTCTGAATGTGTCGTCCACAGGCGACCAGTGTTTAAAAAATGCTTTGTGGCTTATTCCTCTGAACTGAGACATTTATTTATCCTTGCACTAGATCTTTAATCATTGGATATTTCTTGAGGGAGAACTCATCTGCTCAATGCCATAACTTATTTTTTTTATTATTTATATTCAGGCAAGAAGAGGGTGATGTGTGAAGTGGTGTGTGGTAGTTTTTAACAGCTTGTAGGATGGGGGGGGGGGGCGGGTTAGAGATGGCAGAGGCAACATCTCAAAACTGCAGGTAAGGAGCGAAATGAGGGAGCAGGCTGCAGGTAAGGAGCAAAATGAGGGAGCAGGCTCCCAAGAATTGTGCGTGAAGGGTGGTATGGACTTCTGGTCTACCATGGAGGCACTGGCTGCCTGGTTGTAAACTGGGTGTTGTCATCAGGCACTCTCCATGTTGCAGGGCACTGAGGAGGGAGGGAGCATAGATGCAAACGGGCAGCTCAAGGCCTCACCCAGAGGGACTCTCCAGCCACACCAGCTGCCATCTCTACCTGCCGCAGCCCCCTGGGCTCCACCCATCAAAAGCGCAGGCTTAGTCAGTCCCCCAGCAGCCCATGTGGTTTCAGGCCCCTGTGGCTCTTCTGATCCCTCTGCCTGATTGTCTGCTAGACGTAGAGTCCTGCCTCCCCGTGTACCTCTCTTCACCCTCTCCAGAGTGAGGAGTAACGAAATGACCCATGCAGACTGCCAGACCTATGCTGGCACGGCCCATTTTCAGGCATCGATAGCTATCACAGTGTTTATGTTCCTTTGAGCCGGTCCCACTCCCATGCACTTAACGTTCTTACTTGGTATTTTAACTAACTGGTTACAAGCTGCGTAGCTTACATGTCCGACTAGCCTGTGTGTCCCTGGAGGACGTGAAATATTAGTCATCTG